CGATGTCAGTGGCGTTCTTGTTGTCAGTTTCTGTCCAGATTGCCTGAGTGAACCTCTGGAGGTGTGGGCACCTCGGAATAATTGTGATAAGCTAGCACTAAGTCCTTCCCCCGTTCACCTTTATCCTTTTTTTTACAATAAGGTTTTCAAATAAATCATGGTTGTACGGCAGTGAAGCATCGGTGTTGAACACTGATGTCATGCTGTCGATGATGATGATGATGATTCGAATGAATTATTAGTTTACGGTTTGCTTCCGCTGAGCAATACCTAACTCGAAACTCTGTCGGGTCAACAGGCTGGATAGCGGAGTACCGTTTTGTGCAGATAACATAGTGGGGGGGGGGGGATCCAAAACTCGGAGGGAGCTATGTTCATCTGACGAGCCTCGGAAGAAACCGGTGGTGGGCTGCCGGTGATTTCACAACCGCTTCATCGTAGACCTCACCAGAAGTCTAAAGTGCAACCGAAAAAATTCCAAACGTCCCTAAAACAAAGTGGACAGAATGCATCGCACTTATCTATTCTGGGCATTTTATTCAGGAGTAGAGTCCCACTTAAGCTGTGTGCTATAGCCTGTTTAAAAAATGTTAGGCATCCTGTAAGACGACCCTGCTTACGTAGACAACCGGTGGAGACCTGAGGAATCAAACTCGCGAAGATACCAGGGGGAACAACAGTGTATTCGAGATGAGGCGTTCAACACGGTGACACTACGGGTGCTAAAGCTTTGGGGGCAGCCCGTTCTGGAGAGGACAAGAAGAAACACCTGCATCACTGGAGATCACAATTTCGAATGCTTGACCTTCCGGCTCCACTTGAACAATCGTTCAGCCGTAGTATCCTCCCGGTCCTTAGCTGTCATACCATCCGAAAGAAGTACGCGGATTGAGATACTGCCAAGTTGCCTAGACAGGAGCAGTCAAGGTGCAGAGGCTAGGTTCGAAGCACAGACCTTTCGGTTAATTAAATGTGAACTGCACGATTTTAGCTCAGACCGAAATTCAATAAAGTTGAACCTATCAGATGTCATATGCGCCAAATTTAAGAACTTATTGGTCCTATTTCAGCTATGAGAATTTTGACCAGTTACCAAGCGACCCATTCGAACAACTCTGATGAGACGCTGTTCGATAACTAAAACATGCGGAATTTCATCCTACATTAAGGACTTTGATGACTTAATACTTTGATGACCTAATACACTACTCATAACGTTGGTGAAAATTCCTCGACAGCCAACGACCGGTTTTATCCTTCTTGGGGCTTATGAAGTAGGCACAGTCCTCGAGTTTCCGTCAACCTTATCATAAACGAGAGATTCAGCTGGGTTCCAGGTCAAAACCAATTTGCTTGCAAATGTGTGTAGTTAGCTAACTTTGACAACTTCTTTCGATTCGCAATCACTTTTTATAAACATTCTCTTCGCAGAATTTCTTAGGTGATCACTTAGAAGCTCAATCCCGTTTTCGAAAACTTCATTTTACCATGCACTAAGGTTTCAGGCACAAATAACTTGATACCACAGCCGATTAGGACTCAGCGGCGCAAAGTACATTTGTCAATCGTCTTTGCATAAGCGACATTTAAAAGACACGTCGCCCGCGACAGTGGATGGAGAACAGACTGAACATTTGCTCTTGGTTGTGAACACATCAACCGAAACTTTCTTTCGCCCGTAGAAAACAAAATTCCTTTTTTGGGAGTCACCAAGACTACCGACCGTAGTACGCCTCGCTGCCTACTTGGAAACCATCCAGACCATACAGGACCTTAGCTGTATGAGTTTCTGTCCCATTGAGCATAAACTTTGTTTGATTCAGGTCTTATTTTACACCGAGAACCTCGCTCGCGGAGAGATTTGATGGGATTGAATTGGGAAAAAACAGTTGTCCTCGTCGCGGAACAAACGAGAAGTTATGAACAACAGTAACAAAACCTTAGTGAATATACACTCATTTGCAAACTAATTTGGTTTTGCGAGAGACTCACTTGGAACCCAGCTGAATCTCTCGTCTATGATATTCCCAGGCAAGTGAATGTGCCGCACCAGGCCGCATTACAAATAGTAACAAAACCTGTTTATTCAGAGATTCCTTACACTAGAGGTCAAGCTTTTGGTCGCTTTAAACGGACCTTAAACACGAGTCTGTACCGAACATACACTATCGCACAACTTTACTGTACTGGTGTTAACGAGGGTCCTGTCACCTATCAAAACCCTGACATGGGTTTCATCAACCAGACACGGGACTTTCCCAATCACCTGCAGTTGCGGAAAATGGCTGCAGGTTAGAAATACGCGCGAACGACATCACTATGTGGCCCCTAATTCACTGGAAACGAGTCGAAAACCAATTTACGGATCATCAGGCACCTAGTCGAAACAGGAAACAGAACTGCATTTCGCAGCACGAAGCAACCATCCAAATCGGTGAAGTTTCCCGAGGTAATATTAATTTCAGTGCCGTAACTAGTGCTCAGGCGGACCCGAGTGTTACTATGAGGCACTCCTGATTTCTTTGGTGCATCACGTTTTATCTCCATAAAAATGAGTAAACAAGAATTGTAATCTAATTGATGTGTTCCGCCTTATAAAAAAACGTTGAGCTGTAACACCCTCCCGGTACCTAGCTGCCATGCCACTCGAAGGAAACACGAGGGCTGGGATACTGCCAGGTTGCCCAAGCCTGGACAGGGGAAGTCGAGAGGCAGAGGCAGACGTCGGGTTCGAACCACGGACCTTCCGGTCAGTAAATTCGCGCTCTAACCACTTGGCCCATCTAGCTCCTGCTTTACCCGCATTGCAGCAGAAGAGGTGATACGAAATGAATTCATCCTGCAAGATTGTTGTTCTTACATCAATTTCTGTTCCAAACGGGTCATTTTGACCTACGCCGGCCTCAAGTTAGCCGCGTGAATGAAATATGACCAGTGCCGTTTTGGAAAGTAATTTCGCAATTGAAAAAAAGAAGTCATGCGGCAAACTTACCAACAGGAAACTGGGATTTGGCAAATTGCGCCATGAAAAGCTGGCCACCGTGATTTCCGGGACAACGGTGTCCGGTTCCCCAGGTAGTCTGTGCTCTAGTTCACAGGCGTAGTGAGAATGCCCGGAGAGGACAAGGCGCGGACGCAGTTGTTCCAATAGCTGTTGAATATGTATTTTGTTTTCAGAACAATACAACATAAAATAGTAGTAGCATCGGATCACCTGACTGATGTAAACTCATCTTCACATTTTTTGTATTCACGTTTTACTGAACCCACCCTTCGCTTTGGAAAATTCGAGCTAACGCAAATACGTCGCTGCCTTTATCTAATGACTCTCTCTCTCTCTGTTTGATACGAATATACAGCGGCTAACAGCCATTCGCCGTTCCATATTGCGACCACTCGTCTAATATAACGAAATTCGTTTGGCTTATTTCAAGTCCATAATTGAAAGTGCAATATCGAAAAGCAAGCCGATGAAATTGTGCGCAGCAAGACACTCAGTTCACTGTCTGCGAGAAACACATTTGGTGCCGAGCTTTGTTTGACTTGACGAAAAAGGCAGCAACCACATTAGGTACCCCGGAATATGACAGACACAATATGACCAATAATAGGGGGGGGGGCATTCGTATGAGTGACTACAAAACAAACAGAGGGTAACAGTTCACCCCAAAATCGACCAGAAATCCCGTTTTGTGGTCGGATGTACCCAGTAGTTTGTAGACAAAGGAGGGGAGCACGCAGACAGATTAAGTCACGGAGTTGATTGAATCGAGTCAGCGTTACAAAACTACTTATAACGGAGAATGTTGGTAGATCAGATAGCGTGGCTGGTTGTTGGTTCGTTCGCTGAGCTGGGCAGTCTGATTGCAAACGTTTCACCACCAACCGAGTTGAAATTATCAGTGGGTGGAGTAGGGTGTAGTGATGGGTCACTGGTTGGGGGTTGAGCAGCGTTGTGAGAACTGATGTGGTTGCCTGGATTGGTGATGAAACGTTTGCAATCGAACTGCTCAGCTCAGTGGATAAACCAAGGGCCACTTACAACAGAATTGTGTACGAAGGCCAACAGAAGTTGTAGATCATCGGATGCTAAGGAGGTGGAAACAAAATATAATTTGCTGTGTAACAATATCACTCGCGTGTTTCTGTGAAGAAACCCGAAAAAAACAGAAATGAACAGAGGCAGTTTGACCACAATCAGGATGGCTCGCAAGTGCATATTTTCACAATCCTTCGTAGCAATCTGGACAGGAATGCACCACCAGTTAAAACGCTTACTGAATGATAGAGGGGTCTAAATCTAACAGTTCGTAGATTGGACTTTTCGACGAAAGTGATGAAGCCTTTGTGAAATAGTTGAAATCAGAGCGCCAGTGAATCGCATACGCCAATGAAAATTCCAGTATTCAGAAACCGTTAAAAAAACCTGCGTTGAATCCGCTAATCTCGTGAATTACCCAGCATCCATTGATTGAGAAATGAACTGGCTTTCAACCGGACCGGGACTGTATTGACCATGCCTGAGACAGAAACTGGAACAGCGTCATTTTCTCCAACAACCAATAATACCTGTCGCTCGTGAACTAAGGGCAGCGTACGACTCCGTAGAACATCGGAAACTATGGGGGTGTCTGGCGGTGAAAGCTATCTTATGCGGGGATCGTACACCATCTCCTGCGCTCGCGAACGTACTTAGTGAAGGCTATCGTCTGAGATGACCAAACCGTACGGTATCAGGCAAACACCGTTTCTTCTAAGCTTTGCAGTGATGTATCACCCGAAACTCTACTCCGTACATTAGGTACTTTGGTTAGTCGAATACCCATCACTCTAAGGATCGGAGAAATGATGCCGAAGACATACGACGAATTTCAGTTTTACCAGTGCTATAATCGAAGTAATGCACGGACATTTTGGAGACATCCGATTAGCAATGTGGTGGTTCGCCAGAGGTCCGTTGAAGATGCGAGTTACCTACGATGCACGCACCAGTCACCATAGGCTGCATTGGTTAGGTCACGGAACTCAAAGTTTCTTAATCCAGCCACGAATAGTGTGATAACGGCAAAAAGATGGTCAAACTGTAAATTCGCAGCAAATTACGCAAGCACTGAATGGTGGACACAGTTGTGCTGACAATTGTCGCCCTCCCGGATGGAAATCCGGGGGGAGCACAACACCTGGTGACAACTGCACACATGGCTCGATCAGGCGGCTAAAAGAGCACCCACATCAAGCCCATCACCTTCAACGCGTATTTGTTGACATTCTTCCTTGGGTTACTAAGGCGACCACCTCCCGTGTGTTGCTGTGTTCGCCCCAATTCCCATGGTATAAATGGACCAATGTGTACCAGTTGCAAGCAACGCATCATTTGACAGCGGTCTTCAGGTGAGTAGCCGAACTACCTGAACAAAAACAGTTAGAATCAAACACATTGGAACATTGTTTCATAGCAATAAGGGTTTAACGCATGATCCTTATGAACCCCACTCCATTCAGGCCCTGAGCACGGTGACTGCAGCTGGGCAACTCGGCTTAATTTTCCGAGGCTATCACTCATACGCAAACCTAGTGCTTGCATACACAGCAGTTCGGAAGCCACAAAGATTACGCGGCACTTGGTAAGGTCATAAGTATTTGCTAACTGACGTGGATCATAACGCTCTGGCTGTTGGCTAGGATTTTGAGACTCCTGATGCAGAACCAGTTCGCCGAAGTCGGAACACAGCCGAGGAGCTGTTGGAGAAGAAACTGTTTGGCGGAGAAACGTCTGAAGCAGCGCAAAATGTAATTTTCAGCTGCAGAAATGTTTAGTCTTCATGGTTCTTCTACGCTTATGAGCGGATTGCTCAACCACAGAGTACGTCAACTTGTCAATGTTTAAGTCCCTGTCGAATAACACCGAGAGGATGCGCAAGCTCTCAGTAGTTAGAAAGCACACAAAAATGGGTGTCCGGTAGACGCAAGAATTTGAAATCTGATTGTACACCAGATAGGCACCAGAACTTCAAAATGGTGTTTTGTGTATCCATTTTGCCTACTCATAAGTAGCTCAGCGATCAAACCAATTGGTTCCCCAACTTCTGTGCTGCAATCAACCCAGGTTTCCCTTCCCATGGTGGACCAGCAAATAAGTTATGGAACCAAATTGAAGCACACTGTGTGAAATTACATTTTTCCCGATTATTCAGCACTCTGATTATCCTCGGAAACCCCATCGATCATGAATGCTCTGATTGCGCCAACAGAAACTTGCTTCGGTGGGGCTGGTGTGGGATTCGGACCTGCGAGAAACAGTCCCTGTAATTCATGTCATCCAGCAGTTCTCACACACGATGGCATATCCTACTATGAAGTCAATCAGTAGTGAAACACCGACAGTAAACGTAAAGAGTCCCTTCAGGAGCAATGATAGATGTATCCTTCTGAAGGGTCCATTTATGGATGACCGGTTGAATCGCATCCTCTCTCGTGTGTACTTCTGACTAGTTCGTTTATGTGGTTTCTCCAAAGATGGGCAACATACGACCAACGTCAGATGGGATAGAATAGATCTTTCGAGAGCGGAACTGGGTTAGCCAAGTATCCTTTTTCAGAGGAGTTTGGATTATGAATAACACAGAAACCTCATACAGAAAACTACTCACAAGGTTGCTGGAAAGGAAACTACAGCCCACGACTGGTTTCGCCATTCTGTTTCGGGCTCATCAGGTAGGCACAGTCCCCGAATTTCCGTCAACAAACTTATGTTCTACTTGAACCCAAATTGCACTGTTCTCGAGAAATACACTCATTTGCAAATCAATTTGGTTTTCACGACAGACTCAACTGAATCCCTGAGTTTCACTACTCAGGGATTCAGTTGAGTCTGTCGTGAAAACCAAATTGATTTGCAAATGAGTGTAGTTCTCGAACACAGAAACCTGTTTGCGGTTGTCATCTTTTTACAATACAACACAGGGAACAACTGTCTCCACCCACGGGGGAGAATGCGTTCAAACGGAAGTTTTGGTGCTCCTGAGATCAAATTGCTCCATTCCTAGAGGTTTCCCCAATCAATGTCGACTGTACTTCCTGAGGCCCCAAACTAACCGTGTTCATCCGTTTTACCGAAGCAAAAACCGGTTGGTGAGATATATCAACCGATGGTCAGTAGGTAGCATGCACCACAAGGAAAAACGTCACTTAATGGGGAAAAATAGTCTGCGATGCAAAGGGGAAACATTGTTTTTTCTTTCGAGAAGGTAGCGTTTGTTAAAGAGTTCAAAGAATGCTGTTATGGTCCTCATCAGATTGAGTTCCTTTTCGGGACCACTGGAATAACCAAATGAGGTACGCACAAATAAGAAGTGATTCACAGAAATATCCCATAAGCCTCCTGCTATTGTTCTATCGAAAGGTTTTAGAATCCCAAAATATCTATGCAATATTTTGGTAAGGTTTGGATGGCAACTTGTCCGAGACACATCCAAACTGCTTTTGGTGAAGCCATCAACCGCCCTTCTGTTCCATTTAACGACCATTCTTCCGTAGCGCTCAGCTGTAGATACGTGAGTCAGAGGCCCACGGAAGTGACCGCCATACCACCGCTCACATCTTCCGCCCAATTTTCATTAATCATATCGGGTTTTCCGTTTTAACGCTTGGGTCCTTAGGCAGTCCAACCAACATGTTGCCTTTGAACGTTTTTTGCAAATCCGTGCTAGCTACCAGCTGTTCCTGTGCAATGGAAATCGTTGTGCTGTCTGGTGCCCCCTAGTGTCGAAACAACCGGAGAGCCAAATACAACCCGTAGCCATCATTCACCGGCCGGGACGCCGGTTACTTGCTAGTAACAGCAGCTCTCCACAGTGTGCTAGAAGCTCGAGATAACTCAATGGTTAAGGCACTAGTTTACGAACCACAAAGTCTGTGGTTCGAACCCTACCTCAGCATCTGGGTCTAGGCTCCTGTCTAGGCTTGGAAAACTTGGGAGTATCCCAGCCCTCGTGCCTCCCTCCGTTGGCATGGCAGCTAGGCACCAAAAGGGTGATACAGCTGAACGAATATTTGTTACTTGCTAGACAGGTTGAATAGCTGAAGTTTGTTCATCGTTGCACGGTGGGTAAACGTCCAAGTGAGGTTCGCAGAGGGCATCGAGTCAATCGGCGTTTTAATTATATGTTATGTTCAAACGCGTTTATCTCATTGCTGTTCCGACGTGTAGGTACGTTGCTCTTGCTCGTTTCCCCCAGGGACATAATGCCGTTCGGAAAAGGTCACCACCATTCCCCTATCTTTCCACCACTTGCTAAGCATTCTTTCTCAAGGTCGTATGGAACGTAAGCATCAGTGTTACTATCGACGATGAGGGTGTCCCTAAGCTTGGCTTGAAGTTGGCCCGGAAGTGGTTTTGAACTCCACTCGATTGCAATGCGTGTGCGCAACACCTTTCCGGAAACTGAGAAACCATAATCAAAGATAATCTGTCGTACCAAGGTCAAATGGTCGTTTCCCAACAGCACAATAAGCCATGTAAAAAAAACATACATTTGATAGTGTTGGATCCACGAGACAGACCATCTGAGCTAAATCCGAATGTCTGCCTATATCTCTCTTGTAAGGTTGGAAATGAACTAACTCGGACGTAATTTGTCAAGAGCTGAGGGCAGTCTTCACAGGAATTCGGAATTAGGGATGACCAAGCCAACAACATGGCTTCCTTAGGGATACAAAGAGTCGCACATGGTCAGGATTGATGGATCCGAAATGACAGCTGAACCGGCGTCTGCGTGTTGACATGGAAAGAGCTGTCACAAACTGAAAAGCGTGTATCCATACTCGACACAGGGCAAAAGTAAGGGAATAATGACTAATACAACACCAAGTGCTATCAACAACAAAGAACAGAGCAGCAAGAACTGCTATGGGGAAAACAAACCTTTTGAGATGCTTCCAAAGAAAGACAGTCCCATCGAGGCCGGTACTTTTTCGAACGTCCCGCGTGTGGCATTGCGTCTACGGGATCGGAGGAACACGGGCTTTCCGTGTCTCGATAGAGGGGGAAGTGTTGCAATAGTATCGGCCGTGTGTAAATATCGGGTCGACTAGCTGAGAAAATAAAATACGAAAGAAAACGGAAATAGTACAAAGACATGATATTCTCACTGCTTTTGCAATGGCACATTTGCTCGGCACATCCCCAGAAAGGGGATTCCTGTTTTTGTATCGGTGTGTCGGACCATGGATTAACAGCTATCTAATGTTGATTCAGCTTCACAAGAGAAACTCCGGAATTTGAATATAGCCACGACAAAAATATCCCACCTTATACGAGTTTCGCATGTGCAGAGCGGTTTCACAAAGTGGAAAGCGGTGCACCAAATATGTACTTTCTAGATAGCCTTCCACTCACAATTCGGAATGTTTCAAAGCCCAAAAAATGCCACCTACAGGATGCGATGGAACGTACACTACACTGTCACGTTGAGACCCAAATACAGCCATCTCGCCTCTGTTCTACTGGAATTAACAGATTAACCCCGGTGTCACTTGTTGTTTTGGTACGTTCTACAAGGCTGCCAAACCGGCAACTCAACGGGGAGCGTGATCGGTCAACCTGATGTGCATGAAATTTGCTGTTGTATCTACGGAATGTGTGCCCAGGTGTATAACGACCAAAAACCTGTTCAACTACATCCGTACAGCACCTTGAGCTGTGTCAGTCTCTCACAGCCAGGTGGGTCAGACTACTGAATCACTGGCTCCGGGCACCCTCCCCCACTACCCAGTGTCTTGTGGGTCAAGCTTTTAAGTCGCAAGATGAGGGACCTCAAAAGACCCCTCCCTATCAACCAAGACAACCGGAAGTATCGCCCACGTTCAAGTGGTGCACTGCAGTAAATCCATCTGCCAATTCCCTAAACACTATCGCCCAGTAAAACAAACCAAAATAACACCTTACAAAATTCACAAGATCTCACCTACATTGCAGACACTGTTGGTGAAATTCTATTTTTCCCTTCTGTCTACGTATGCTGACTCCAAAAACTGAACTTCGGCCATGCACCTCGAGCCACTCAAAACCAGCTCAGCTGTTCCACATTTAACTCTTCGGGTATCTGGTGATTCTAAGGCAATGACTCGTGGTATCTACGATGGCGAAGTTGCACTCAGCCTCAAGACTGAAAGCCCTTTGCTGAACTGGATCCCAGTAAACAGCCGCGTTTGCGCCACACACCTGTTTGGTTCAATTGAGATCAATACGGGTCGACCAAGTGCACAGCATTTGTTTGTCGTATCAGCATATGCCCCCAACAGATTGCAGTCCTGAGACTGAGGACGGGTTTTATCAAGATCTGTCACGAGGCTCCGATCAACGAGAAGGAAAGATATAGTCATTCTGGCAGGTGATATGAACACCCATGTTGGACAACTAAGCCCGTGAGAAACATAGCTGGGCAGAAGATTCGGAGTTTATGCCAAGCGTACGGACAATCGGAAGCGAATTCTTAAAATGTGTGCTGAACATCACCTGTTCCTGACCAGTAAAAACCTTCAGAAGGGCTAATACCCAGTTACTTGGAGGCGACCAACGCCAAACTAGTCATGGACTCTTTTTCATAAAGGAAACTACTCACAAGGTTGCTGAAAATTATTCGAAAGCCCACGAACGGTTTCGCCCTTCTTGGAGCTCATCAGATAGGCGTAGTCCCCGAGTTTCCGTCAGCCTTAGGTTCTAGTCATGGACTCAATCGGACAAGGTGGTAATCAGTTACAGCCGGTGATTCTCAATCAGAAACTTCCGTTCCTTCTGGAATACACCATCTGACTCCATTATCAATTCGCTTCCTCTTAGGAGTACACATGTCGAAGCAGAGTAATTCCGCCCATCAGCAGCTCAAACAATACCGATACGAACTAGCTGGAGGCTGAAGACAAAGCCACGCTGATGACCAAAATTAGCTGGAGATTAAATGGAAGCGAGTGAAAGTGATTTCGTCGAAACCGGTATCTCTTACCGCCGCCAAAAAGGTCACACCAACAACTAACGACCAGGCTATGAACACCCAAGACACTTTGAAAGCCTCCGCTACAGACTACCGCTGTGCCGTATGTTTACTGGTCCCTTGAGCTGGCGAATAAATGGCGAAGAAAATGGAACGGTAATTCACTCGCACAACCGTCTTCTTTGGTGACGAACTGACTTAAGTTCAGTTTATCAGCTTTAAACTATGTACCGAAGATACTTTGATTCCAGCTACTACAGTTTCGGTCATCGGAAAATGTGACCAGTTAGTTCTGGAAACTGGGCGGCTACAATGAAGGCAGCAACAAGATCTGTTGTCTCGACATATCCATTGTTCAGTTGGCCGAGTCGGACTGCTTAGGGCAGACAGTTCTGAAAGCCGAAAGTATAGCTTGCTACACTAGCCTCTATTATTCTTCCAGTCATCAGCATGAGCGCGCCAAGATCTGTTCGACATATCCATTGTTCAGTTGGCCGAGTCGGACTGCTTAGGGCAGACAGTTCTGAAAGCCGAAAGTATAGCTTGCTACCTACACCTCTATTATTCTTCCAGTCATCAGCATGAGCGCGCATTTCCTGGCCAAATAAGCCCAATACTGGTCGACCAGTGAAATTCATCGAAGCTGAGGAAAGGAGTTGCCCTGCTTCGGTACAGTCCTCAAACTATGTTCCAATCTTGAGAGACGGAGGAATTGTGAAGAGTCCACATGGCGCAGGCTGCTCATATCTAGCTCAAACCCAGCGCGGATGTCAAAGCGATCCAATCTACGTCGGTTTGATGACGCACTTGTTCACAGTTCACCTCCACGTTGAAGCTTCGTAACTTTCCCCCATCGATCTAATGGTCCCTCGCGCTCCATTCTCACAACGCGACTCAATACACGAAGGCGAAGCAGACTGCCGGCCCATGCGAATCCCATGTTTTTCGCATTACTCATAATATTCTCGGGTCTATCACGAATTCGTGCCACAAGGGAAAATGGGAAGTTCGTACACAGGCATGATGAATATCTTGCGCATCTAGCATAAAAATTTTATCTCACCCAAAATGCATTGCTGGAACGGGCACGTTGTAATATCGCGGTTGCCGGAGATATTGAGGCTTAGCAAAGGCGATTATTGCTTTATTGATGTGGTAAGCGATTTCCGAAGTCACGCCATCACCAATCAGGATGTTGCATCCTGGCTTGCTAACTCATGACACTAAGAGATTCCTTAATGATTCAAGGTAGGTGCGGTCATAGGAGAGTCTTGTGCAAGAACCTTACTTACACTTAACTGGTTGGAAGTACGTCATGCTATCTGAATTGCCAACTGGGACTATACAGCATGAACTGACCGGCGTTCCGACCTTCGCCCCCAACATCAACATAGTCCAGGTCCCGGACCCCTCGCCACGACTGTTCCCTTGCGGCAGAGTTGCTTTTAAGAAGTCGGTGATCAGAAAGTTCAAAAGGAACAATGAGGATGGACCAACCTGGCGAACTCTATTGATGATTTGAACGCTCAGTAACAGGTGGCTGCACAGTGGCACGCGTCACAATTTGGCTTTGCACCATGCACTCAAAATCTTCGTAAATTTGCCGATCCCCATCACGGGTGAGGCAGTTCCAAGGAGCAGTTTTGACAACTAAGCCGGAAACGACAACAATGACCAAGGGTAAACATGTCAGTGGAACCGTGTCCGCTGCAGAAACTAGCTTGCTCCTATATCCCACCTTATACGAGTTTCGCATGTGCAGAGCGGTTTCACAAAGTGGAAAGCGGTGCACCAAATATGTACTTTCTAGATAGCCTTCCACTCACAATTCGGAATGTTTCAAAGCCCAAAAAATGCCACCTACAGGATGCGATGGAACGTACACTACACTGTCACGTTGAGACCCAAATACAGCCATCTCGCCTCTGTTCTACTGGAATTAACAGATTAACCCCGGTGTCACTTGTTGTTTTGGTACGTTCTACAAGGCTGCCAAACCGGCAACTCAACGGGGAGCGTGATCGGTCAACCTGATGTGCATGAAATTTGCTGTTGTATCTACGGAATGTGTGCCCAGGTGTATAACGACCAAAAACCTGTTCAACTACATCCGTACAGCACCTTGAGCTGTGTCAGTCTCTCACAGCCAGGTGGGTCAGACTACTGAATCACTGGCTCCGGGCACCCTCCCCCACTACCCAGTGTCTTGTGGGTCAAGCTTTTAAGTCGCAAGATGAGGGACCTCAAAAGACCCCTCCCTATCAACCAAGACAACCGGAAGTATCGCCCACGTTCAAGTGGTGCACTGCAGTAAATCCATCTGCCAATTCCCTAAACACTATCGCCCAGTAAAACAAACCAAAATAACACCTTACAAAATTCACAAGATCTCACCTACATTGCAGACACTGTTGGTGAAATTCTATTTTTCCCTTCTGTCTACGTATGCTGACTCCAAAAACTGAACTTCGGCCATGCACCTCGAGCCACTCAAAACCAGCTCAGCTGTTCCACATTTAACTCTTCGGGTATCTGGTGATTCTAAGGCAATGACTCGTGGTATCTACGATGGCGAAGTTGCACTCAGCCTCAAGACTGAAAGCCCTTTGTTGAAATGGATCCCAGTACACAGCCGCGTTTGCGCTACACATCTGTTTGGTTCAATTGAGATCAATACGGGTCGACCAAGTGCACAGCATTTGTTTGTCGTATCAGCATATGCCCCCAACAGATTGCAGTCCTGAGACTGAGGACGGGTTTTATCAAGATCTGTCACGAGGCTCCGATCAACGAGAAGGAAAGATATAGTGATTCTGGCAGGTGATATGAACACCCATGTTGGACAACTAAGCCCGTGAGAAACATAGCTGGGCAGAAGATTCGGAGTTTATGCCAAGCGTACGGACAATCGGAAGCGAATTCTTAAAATGTGTGCTGAACATCACCTGTTCCTGACCAGTAAAAACCTTCAGAAGGGCTAATACCCAGTTACTTGGAGGCGACCAACGCCAAACTAGTCATGGACTCTTTTTCATAAAGGAAACTACTCACAAGGTTGCTGAAAATTATTCGAAAGCCCACGAACGGTTTCGCCCTTCTTGGAGCTCATGAGATAGGCGTAGTCCCCGAGTTTCCGTCAACCTTAGGTTGTAGTCATGGACTCAATCGGACAAGGTGGTAATCAGTTACAGCCGGTGATTCTCAATCAGAAACTTCCGTTCCTTCTGGAGTACACCATCCGACTCCATTATCAATTCGCTTCCTCTTAGGAGTACACATGTCGAAGCAGAGTAATTCCGCCCATCAGCAGCTCAAACAATACCGATACGAACTAGCTGGAGGCTGAAGACAAAGCCACGCTGATGACCAAAATTAGCTGGAGATTAAATGGAAGCGAGTGAAAGTGATTTCGTCGAAACCGGTATCTCTTACCGCCGCCAAAAAGGTCACACCAACAACTAACGACCAGGCTATGAACACCCAAGACACTTTGAAAGCCTCCGCTACAGACTACCGCTGTGCCGTATGTTTACTGGTCCCTTGAGCTGGCGAATAAATGGCGAAGAAAATGGAACGGTAATTCACTCGCACAACCGTCTTCTTTGGTGACGAACTGACTTAAGTTCAGTTTATCAGCTTTAAACTATGTACCGAAGATACTTTGATTCCAGCTACTACAGTTTCGGTCATCGGAAAATGTGACCAGTTAGTTCTGGAAACTGGGCGGCTACAATGAAGGCAGCAACAAGATCTGTTGTCTCGACATATCCATTGTTCAGTTGGCCGAGTCGGACTGCTTAGGGCAGACAGTTCTGAAAGCCGAAAGTATAGCTTGCTACACTAGCCTCTATTATTCTTCCAGTCATCAGCATGAGCGCGAATTTCCAGTAGCCTCCTGGCCAAATAAGCCCAATACTGGTCGACCAGTGAAATTCATCGAAGCTGAGGAAAGGAGTTGCCCTGCTTCGGTACAGTCCTCAAACTATGTTCCAATCTTGAGAGACGGAGGGATTGTGAAGAGTCCACATGGCGCAGGCTGCTCATATCTAGCTCAAACCCAGCGCGGATGTCAAAGCGATCCAATCTACGTCGGTTTGATGACGCACTTGTTCACAGTTCACCTCCACGTTGAAGCTTCGTAACTTTCCCCCATCGATCTAATGGTCCCTCGCGCTCCATTCTCACAACGCGACTCAATACACGAAGGCGAAGCAGACTGCCGGCCCATGCGAATCCCATGTTTTTCGCATTACTCATAATATTCTCGGGTCTATCACGAATTCGTGCCACAAGGGAAAATGGGAAGTTCGTACACAGGCATGATGAATACCTTGCGCATCTAGCATAAAAATTTTATCTCACCCAAAATGCATTGCTTGAACGGGCACGTTGTAATATCGCGGTTGCCGGAGATATTGAGGCTTAGCAAAGGTGATTATTGCTTTATTGATGTGGTAAGCGATTTCCGAAGTCACGCCATCACCAATCAGGATGTTGCATCCTGGCTTGCTAACTCATGACACTAAGAGATTCCTTAATGATTCAAGGTAGGTGCGGTCATAGGAGAGTCTTGTGCAAGAACCTTACTTACACTTAACTGGTTGGAAGTACGTCATGCTATCTGAATTGCCAACTGGGACTATACAGCATGAACTGACCGGCGTTCCGACCTTCGCCCCCAACATCAACATAGTCCAGGTCCCGGACCCCTCGCCACGACTGTTCCCTTGCGGCAGAGTTGCTTTTAAGAAGTCGGTGATCAGAAAGTTCAAAAGGAACAATGAGGATGGACCAACCTGGCGAACTCTATTGATGATTTGAACGCTCAGTAACAGGTGGCTGCACAGTGGCACGCGTCACAATTTGGCTTTGCACCATGCACTCAAAATCTTCGTAAATTTGCCGATCCCCCATCACGGGTGAGACAGTTCCAAGGAGCAGTTTTGACAACTAAGCCGGAAACGACAACAATGACCAAGGGTAAACATGTCAGTGGAACCGTGTCCGCTGCAGAAACTAGCTTGCTCCTGTCGATAGTACAAAACGCATGCAAGTGAAAACTCGGCAAAAAACGAGCAGACCAAGTATGAGACCGGTGAGGCGGTGGTGAAATAAGCTTATATGCATCAACTATTACTAGCACCCAAGGACACAGATCAAGTTTGCTCCCAATCCCCCCAAACCCCAAGGTCCACTGCTACAAGGCTACGTGGCAAGGTCGAATGAATGCACACAGCAACCGAGAAGGCGCGGTAAAACGCGCTGACTGATTGTCTAAAGCACTTCCACCAAGTCGATTGAAGCGTTCCAGATTTCAGTGAGCGAGGCAATCTAGCGTTTGGATCAGCAGGGGGTCAGGGCACATACACAGGGGTTCAACACTAGGTGCATGACTAAAATGGCTGGGAATTTGGTGGACCATTTGCAACCAATGTGTGGTAACAGTAGGCGCGGGAGAAAATTGAAGTCGTCAAAAAAAACGGGGATATGAAATCAAACCAAACGGTTTTACACCCTTTCGGTGTATAATTGTCATGCAATCCGAAGGAGGGCTGCAATACGCCCGGGCTCACGAAAAACAGTAGGGTGGGAACTGGACATCAGATTCTAAGGCGTCTTAGCCACAACTTACTATCACTGTCTAAATCCACAAAGGATTTCGGCTGACTGTAACTCTCTTCCAACGAGCACCGGGCAATTGCGGTCGCGCTTCGGTTGATCGGCATACACTGCAAACGATGGGCGATAGCACGAACGTTGCGTTCCGCCTCCGAACATAGATAACACTCGTCACCTTCAAAAGCCATGCTGTTGGCCATGACGTAATGAACACCAGCGTGCGACCATAGCCGGACGGATGAACTATTCCTGGATGGAGTCATCTTCTGACGGAATCGGTTATCCACATAGCGATATATCCTAAAAGAGAAGAAAAGGCTACCGATGTTTCTTAATGTAAGCGCAGTGAAATACAAACGGTTCTGAATGCATTGGAATAGCCGGTTGGGGTTAAACAGGATTCACCCCATGGACAGTGTTCCAAGTGCGACGAAAGACTGGGGAACACTGATTCGTCACAAAGGTGTACTGAGCATGACATTGTTGAGCAGTCGTACACAGCTGATACAATCTGATCTAAGCATGGTTATTGTATGGGTACGTGAGCTTGAAACCGCTAAACCTCTGCGCCCACTGAATTTGAGCATAGGCCCTTGTGCAACTAAGCTTTTCGGGGTCGAATCGCAACCTCAACGGCGCGGTTTAGACTTGGCAAGGGAAAAGATCACAACAAAGATATATGCATCTCATCATCATCATCATCATCACCATCATCGACAGCATGATATCAGTGTTCAACACCGATGCTTCACTGCCGTACAACCATGACTTATTTGAAAGCCTTATTGTAAAGAAAAGAATAAAGGTGGA